TTAGTGGATTCAATGCCCCAATTACACAAATCCAAAATTAGCTTTGTTACCTCTTTGGTTTTATTCTAAAATTAAAGACATTAATTAATGGTGCAATATTTGACAATAAAAAATATCATGTAGATCACGTCATTGACTAGTCAATCAATAATTGATACTACACTAAGTTAAATCACTGCAATAATATTATTGCATTATTACAAAACAATGCAATAACATTACTGCAAGTCAATGCAATAATTCACACACAAATTCGGCCTAAGAAAGGACCAGATTCGGTCCCTAAAAGAAAACTAGAAAGGTTGGATTTCCTCCATTAGTTTCAGACAACACATTAATAAGAGGATCTTCTGCATAAGTCTATCCCCTTTTAGCCATAATTGCATACCTCATTCCAATCCCTAAAATGGAAAGAAAATCAAGTGAGAAATAAAGTTAGAGAGATCTACGCACATGGAGATATACACATTTAATAATAATCAATGCTACGAAATAAAATTACCCAGCCATAAAATACATATTTAAATCATGTTGATTTCAATAATTAGTAGTAAATGAATAATAAACAGCAGTGATGAGCAATAATTAGCATTGCATATAGGAGTGATCTCAAGAAGGAAATAATCTCAAAATGGCAACAAGGGAGATAAAGGCAATTAGAGAAATTATAGGTGCATCGCACACACTCATGCTCAAAGATACATATAAAAGAGTATTGTCTGAAGGAGTAAAGGGCAGCCAACAACAAGAGATTGTTACACCATATTCGCACATAGTCACTTCTCATACACATATAGACACTTCTCATTCCCTTCAAAGTTCACACATACTGTGACACCCTGAATTTATATTTCTTAAGTTGTAGGAATAGTCCTGAAGAGTGGTATATACTGACAGATTCTCACTTGAGCGAGAGGGTCTCGCTCAGTGAGAGGGTCAGAGTTTCTCCTAGGATTTTATCTGGAAATCTCGCTTGAGCGAGAAAGAGCTCGCCTAGGCAAGAGATGACTTACTTGGGTGAGTGAAATACTGGGCTATACTAAAGGATTCTCGTCTGAGCGAGAATTGGCTCGCCTAGGCGAGGAAGAGTTGTAGACATTGAAGGATCCTCGCTTGAGTGAGAATCCCTCGCTTGAGCGAGAGTGTCAAATATGAGTTTTTAAAATGGGCGAGATTTTCTCGCTTGAGCGAGGAAATGCTCGCTTGAGCGAGAACCCGACGATTCAACCTTAAAATAGAAACCCTAAACACTTTTAGGGTTAGAACTTTGAAGAGAATAAAGAGAAGAGAGCATTTTCAAGAACAAGGGTTCGTGAGAATCATCTAGAGGCTTGAGAAGAAGTAAATCTCTTGATTCTAACTCTCTTCTTCCCTTTCAAACTCGTTTTGGGTGTATGGGGTCTCTTATCAAAATGTGAGAAACCATGGAAACTCTTCCTTTTGAGTTGTGGTTCTTTATATTTGATTTCTTTATATTTGATTTCTTTCTTGTAAACTCTTAATTTAGAGTTGGTATTTTAAAGAATGGAAATGGTTTGAGGGTTGATTCATGAAAACCCAAAATGAGAATATGAGTAATGAGAGAAATGAGTGAAATGTTGAATATAAGATGAATATGTATGTCTTAGATGTTTGGAAACTCTTAATGAAAGTAGTTTTGGAAACATTGAAAATGTGTGAATCTCTTGTATGGTCAAAGATGAAATATGAGTTGTTTATGTGTGATTTTGAATAAATGACTAACATTGTTATTATGTGGTAGGAATGAAGAACGATCCTAAAGTTGGAGGCGGTGTCGGAGGAACTTGCAAAGTCTGGATTCCTTTATTTTGCTATTTTTGTATTATGACTGACTAAATGCTATTTTGGATAATTCTAACTCCGAGCATTGTAACACTGGATATTTGTAGCTATGAGTATTTTGAAAACCCATAGCTAGTTGTATGTTGTAGTTACCGGAGACATTAATACGAATTATGTTTTTCTATTAAATGAATGTGTGTATGGATATTATAATATAGAATGATCGTAAACTGGAAAACGAGGTTAATATAAAGCTATTGAATTTGTAATTCTAAGTTATAAAAAAAAAAGTAGGTGAAAGGATTAAAATAAGGAAAAAAAAATTCAAGTGTGAAATTTGGGTCCTTATACATACCACACAAAATCTCATATTCCCTTAAATTTTCATAGTGTTTTGACATAACAATTTTTTTCCATACAGTGTTCCAACATAGCTCTTTTTCCATCAACCCACATCATACAAAACAAGGTGAAATAGACTAAAGATATTAATAATCAGAGCGGACGAAGAAAGGAGATTAGCGGCGTACAAGAAAATGATACAAAAAGAGGGTAACTACAAGGTGTTACAAAATTCTTACCAGGTAATGAGCCTATCTCTTTTTATTCTAATTGTCTATCCATGTTCCATAGGAATTTATGAAAGTCTTACTGTGTTATACAAAGAACATATTTCTCAATACAAACATGTGCATCCATATTTAACTAAGATTGAAAATGATGCATCCTGGTAAGTTTAAATCGGTTCAGTAATCAAATTTCAATCAATTCAGTCATGTTTACATCCCAAACTATGTTTTTAATTTTTATGCACACAATCGGATTTCAATAAGCATAAGTAAAAGAAGAGATAGTGTTCCTTACCTAACCTTTTGAACCATAACAACAATTAAAAAATAATCAATAAGAAAGAAAACCAAAAGGAACAAATAAATGTAACAAATGGAAAAGTATAAGAAGAATAGAAAGGGGAATTTAGGGATTTGGTTCCCTTTTGACGCACCGTGCTGGATGAAAATTCCATACCATGGGAAGCGGTTTCGGTCGAGAGCCGCCATGAATCGTCACATTTCCCTACCGGCGAAAACCCAAGCCGCTGCCGTCGTGGGAGAGAAGAGAAGGGAGGTGACTTTGGGGGATTTCCACCCCTTGCCATTTTAGTCGTGAAAATGGGGTAACAGTAGGTTACCCCTCTAATTAATTATACCCTTTTCCTTTGTTTTTTTTTATTTTTTATCTTAATATAAATATTATTTTTTTATATTTAATAAATTTCTACTTCCTTTACGTTTTATATAACCCAGAATGAACATTACATACCCATGAATATATTTGATAACATCTCTTTTTTTATAAAATTTGAAACATACTTTAATTATTTTTTTAAAAAGAAATCTTTTTAAGATTTGATGCGGTGTCGGACGTTAGAGTTGTACTTCATTTTTTTTGGAATTGATGGATAAATACATTAAAATTTCTTAATAAATTTAAATATATTTTTTTAACACAAAGAGATGAATATCTTAGCTAATTTTTAATGTGAGATGCAGTATTTGAACTTTACTCAATTTAATTAGTTAAGATTAAACATCACGTTTTCTAAATAATAATAAAAATTAATTCAACCAAAAAACTTTTTTCTACCTAAAGAACTACGTAGTTTTGATTCTCTATCTTTATAGGGACGTGTAGGAGCAAGATCACATCTTGTCAGACACAACAAAAAATAAATAAAATTGTTATTTTAATAGTTAATTAAATAACAAAGTAACTTTAAAGTATAAATTAAACCATGCAATTTAGTTAGGGTACCATTTAAAATGGGCGGATACGGTGCTGATACATTCCCTAGTCCGTAACTGACTTCCGAACCTGGATATCAAAATCTGAGGCCCAATGTAATTGAGCTAAAAGGGTTTTCTACATTTTTGACAATAAAATGTAGTCGCGACTCTAACAAAGTCGTGCGGCCGAAAATCGGGGCGCGACAGGACCAAAATGATAATTTAAATTTATTAAAGACTATAAGGCTGTAAAATGATTTTTTTATTGTGATCACTTCTCTATAGCGACTATTGACGAGTTTGTAGAAGATTTAGGTTCTGCAATGATTTTTTTTCAAAATTTGGTTTATGGTTAGGACACCACAAATTCGAGTACACCCATCAAACACTCATAAGACAGCTTCTTGCACTTTTGATGGTCATTATGAAATTTTGGTGATGCCTTTCGGCCAATGTTGTGAAACCCGAGCCGGACGTCAAACCGGAGGAGGTCTTGTATAGGTTCTAACCGGTTTAACCGGTTAAACCGTCCGGTCGGACCGGACGACAATATAATATCATATATAATTATATATATATACATATATTATATAATTAATTAAAATAAGTGAATAACTTTGCACAAAGCTTACACATAAATCAAAATAAAAGTGCATCAAAGTTTAAGTCTTACATAATTAGAGCAATAAATCAAAACACATCTCATTTAGAGAGTAAACATTCTAATTCATCCATGTATCATTGTCTTGGTTAGATCCTAAGTTTACATTGTTGGTTAAAGATGTACTTTGAGTGTAACTATCTACATCTTCTTGAGGAAAAGAGTCTAAATTAAGTAATCCATCAATAATAATATTTTGTCCTTCAACCATACCTACAAATTAGAATATACGTTAGATTAATATGTATAATAATTAGAAAATATGTATAATACTGATCTTTGAAAAACTCATGTATGAAACTAATATTATTTGCATTTTTAAACAGTGTAATCGATTACACAATCATGGTAACCGATTACATGCTGATAAACTAATCAGACATGTGCATTTTACATGATGTAATCGATTACAATATACTCGTAATCGATTACATCATATTAAAAGCATCAGATATGTGAATTTTACATGATGTAATCGATTACAATATACTCGTAATCGATTACATCATATTAAAAGCATCAGATATGTGAATTTTACATGATGTAATCGATTACAATATACTCGTAATCGATTACATCATATTAAAAGCATCAGATATGTGCATTTTTTACATTTTTTTTTAATTTTACCAATCCGGCCGGTTTAACCAACCGGGTTATTCCGGTTTTACCCGGTCTAACCCGGTTGGACCGGATTTTCCACGGCCCAAAACGGCTGGAAACCAATTCCGGTTTTCTACATGTACAGGACCGTTTACTCAAGCGGATGACGGTTGGACCGGTTGGACCGGCCGGTCCGGTCCGGTCCAAACAACACTGCTTTCGGCTTCATGGATGCTCCATCTACTTTTCCAATAGCAATGAATGACTTACACAGACCTCACTTATGGGAGATTGTTCTAGTTTTCTTTGATGACATTCCTCATTACATACAAATTTATCCAATTGTTTACTCTACTTGTAGATTGCATTAGACCTATTAGGTTTTAATCAAATTTCTGTCAATTTGTCAAAATGTATTTTTGGTATTAATTCAATTAACTACTTATGGCATATTATTTCAACAGTAGGTATGCAGCCTGGCCTTGACAAAATTCAGGCCTTGGTGGATTGGCATGCATCCACCTCGTTCACCCATGGCACTTAAAGGTTTCTTGGGCTTCACATATTTTCATCATAAGTTTATTAAAGATTACGCCTTTCTCGCTATTCATCTCATCGGTCTAATAAAAATCATAGTTTTACAATGTCAATAATGGCTCATTCGGACTTTAAAAGTTTACCAAATGAAATGACTAAAACATTTTTCTTCATCTTCTAGATTTCTCCAAAACCTTTATGTGGAAACTGATGCATATGTTTTGACCATTGGTGCAATATTATCCAAAGATGATCATCCTTTTGCCTTCTTCAACAAAAAGATGTCCACCCACATGCAACATGCTTCAACATACCTTCGAAAGATGTTCGTTGTCAAAAAATCACTTAAGAAGTGGGGTTAATATTTAATTTGTAGGCACTTTAGAATACTTGGAGATCAGTAAAGTTTATAATATCTCATCACACAAGCCTTATACACTTCAAAATAACATAAATGAGCAACTAAGCTTATTAATTGATTTTCAATATGAACTAAAGTATTGCACTAATACCGAAAATAGAGTTGTAGATGTCATGCCTAAGGCCAAGTCTAACATGCGTACCACATAGTAGTACGCATGGATGTTAACCCCTTTAATTGTCGTCGATTTGATCTGAGCCGTAGAATTTATGACGGATTGTTTTTTATGAGAGAAGTCGGTATGGGCTTGGTATACTTTAACCCATACAGAAGTCGGAATGGTCCTAGTATACTTTAACCCATACAGAAGTCATTTTCAACGAAATTAACATTGGGCCACTCATAAGTCGGTTTGGAAGAAACCGACTTCCTAACATAGGGTATTTTATTTATATTTAATTGATTGGCTGGGACTGGCCCATAATTACTTTATATGTTCGCAATCTGGCCTACTTAGTTAACCATCTCTTTTAAAAAAAAAATTATTTTTCTATTCAGAAGTTAAGAGTGTGTTAATTGTATTTTCATTTTTACGCCTACTTAATGTTTTCTTAATCCACCTAACTAGTGGAAAAAATTAATAATATATTAGGAAAAAACACAATAAATATCATGTGAATCAATAATTGCTAATGACATATTGGTATATCCTCAAAACTAATTAATCTTCATAATAATCACTTCAAAAGATATAATATATGTGATGTGAAATTTTTACACTTATGATAATCAAAGTTTAAGGTTAATATTCATGCTACCAATTTGATATTTTTTATTTATAGACATACTTTTTTAAGTAGCTATTGTGGTTTCAACTCTAACACATATGTTTAAATATCTAGCTTTGGTTAGTGTGAGAGAGAAAAAGTTAATACAAAATAGTTTTTTTTACCACAAATGTTAAATGATATAAGTGTAAAAAGTATATTTAAAACTGCAATTTTTTTAGGAAAATTATTTATATTAATCTCTTTTATCTAGCAGGAAGCAATTATGTGAGAATTAAATTATAACATGATAAATATTTTTGTGAAATAAATTATAATTTTCATTTTATTTAAAATATTATAATTTTAAATCTAATAATTTAAAATGTTCCACTTTATTTGTAATTAATATTTTTTTTTTACAAATTCCCTAAATGACATCCCGTTCCACACCTAGGAGGTTGCCTAGAACGTCTCGATCTCCCTCTATTTTCAATCGTTGGTTGGTCTTGAGTTGTATCTGTCTGCCCCGTTGGGAAAATATTATCATTAACCATTAAAGAACTTGGTCCAGCACCTTCTTGATTGAAGTTGAATTCAATATCATTAAGATACACATTTGCCGAATCAGGTTTACCGAATAAATTGTTGATGAAGTCGCTTTGGTCGGTAGAAAATGAGTGGCGTTGTGGAATCAAATCTTCAACCCGATTGTGATGGTGCTGTGAGGGTTCATAATGAAAAGACATTCTCCCTAGTTGAAGGTTATAAGAGGTAGACATTGATGGTTGATACATCGGAAGTTGTGACGTCATAGGTTGATTCATCATAGGTGGGAATATTAGTGTTTGAGGTGTGAGAATTTGATTTTTTTTAATGTGGGTTAGTTTGTGTATTTATTTGGCGTGGGTCTCGGAGTTGAGTTTCGGGAGATAAGAAAAGTCTAGAATTAGTTCTATACCAAATTATATATTGTGGTGTGTGGACGTGATATTGGATTTGGGGTCCTCGTAGGACTTGATCCCTACGATGACTCCAATATTCAATCCATTGTGCATGCTTGGTAGCCTAGTTTTCATCTTGATTACCCCGTTAGTCAACTCTGTGTAGGGCGTCAAGATTCATCGTTGGTTGTGGCAAATCTTGGACAAATCTAAATTGTAATCTTACTTGATCTGTTTGATGCCATTCGATAATGGAGAAACAAATCAAAGTTGTACATGCACTCCACACGTTCTTATCTTGTTGAACTTCACGTTGGAGATTGTTGATATAAGTCTCATATGACATCCATTTAAACTAAAAATATAAGAATATATAATGTCAGAATATATAATGTTAGGAAATTGAAAATTTTGTTAATTGTTGCTGATAAAGATTTTAAAAATATTTACATCATTGACTTCCATATGATCCAAACGTGACCTATATCTTGTAAAGTCTCCACGTGGAACTCCTTGAAAGATTAAATTTGTTTGACCCCACCTTCAAAAAAAAATTATTAATTATTTATTTAAAAAGTAACAAATTGTAAGTAATTGTTAATGTATAATTATGAACTTATATTACCTTTTAGCCAATGGATAAGTTGGTGGGCCTTCAAATCTCGGTGCAAGAAAAGGTAGTCTATACCATGCCCAAGATTGTAAAAGTATCAAACACCCACTCATGGCTTTTCCATTTGGTTTAGTAGCCCGACACATCTCCCTATACAAGTTTGCCAAACAAACTGAACCCCAACTATATATGTTAACTATTGACAAGTCTCTAAATAAATGTAAGTACATTAGATGTACTCTACTGTTGGATTTGTCGGGAATCAATTCGCCTCCTATAATATATAGGATATGTGCCCTACAATATTGTTGTAATTGTATTTCTGTAGGGTTAGAGGGGAGTTCACTAAAGTTTTCAACTAACCAATTTAACTTTAACTCACACCCCCCTCATATCTTCTCCAGCTATTGGGACTTTTCCCAAAAATTCTCCACACATCTGATGATGACAATGTGGAGTGCAGAACTTCGAGTAAGTCAAAAAACCCCTATCAGTAGAGGAGTGGAAGGGTAATTATATAACATTTGAAACAATTTTTATAAATTATTAATTATATATTATCTAACAATTTCATTGTTTTTAAAGGGCAAGTCAATCATGGAATATAATAACCAGTTACATAAACTTGGGAAAAAATTATTTAACTCACCATCTTCGGTTGAAAAACCTATTAAGAGGATTCGGGGGTCACCATCTTCAACTTCCCCGGGTGTGAAAAGATTTTGCAAAAAAAATCTTACACAAACATCTAGACCAAGAGGTCACACTATCCCAAAGCTATTATTAGTGCATTGTGAAGTAGAAATTATATGTAAATTAAATCAAAAAATAATTATAAATTTCACTTTATTTATTGTAGGAAGTAAAATCTTGCTTTAAACCTAATCCAATTATGGATTTGACTTGGGAGGAATCTCGTTTATCTGCTTACATTTTCAACGACCAACTAGACTTGGAGTGAGTATTATTTTATTTATGTTTCATTATAATTATGTTATATATGCTTACATTGATTTACACTTACATATTTGTTGTTGTTATTATGTCATTAGCGAGGAGTTATTTATGATTGGGGATGAAATCGGGACACGTCGTGAATTTCTATCTCTTGCAACTGGAAGAGATATTAATGAGAAAGTAAAATTCTAACTTATAAAATCTATATATTTTAAAATTCTAACTAATAACATTTTTTAACAGATTTTCATTCTATTGGCGAAATTAAGAACTCATGTAGAAAGACATGGAGATTCTCCAATCACAACTTGGTATCTACCCCCGTCATTTTCGGTAAGGAATAAGATGTAAATATAATTAGTTTGTAACTATGACCACTATATTAACTACACAACTTAAACATACGTAGGTTTAAGTTATTAATGACATGGCTAAACAAGAAATCTTCACAACCTATATGAATTTGTGGATGCCTCCCTCTTCTAATTTGAAATATGTAATAATTTTCTATATTATTTATTTTATTTCCTTATTTCATTAATGAAATCATATACTAATTAATTTATTTTTTTATTTGTTTGTACAAGATTTATGTGCCCATTGTTGAAGACAATATTCATCGGTATTTAATGGTGGTTGATATTGATGATTACACCATCTATAAATTGGACACTTGGGACATGAAATGTTATAGGGAGAGAAGATACTTGGATATTGCAAAGCTGGTTTGGAATTTTGACTTTATTTTTTAGTTGAAAAATAATAATAACTTATCCACATTTAATTAATAACTTATTCACAATTTTAGGCCTATGTATTGGAAAAAGTTTTTGACCAACCATTTTATCAGAGTCAAATGCCATACTTCCTTAACAAGTTGTCAAGTTGGGAAATAAAAAATGGGGAAGGTCAACATAACTTGTGGAATATGTATGTATTTTCGCAATAATATATGTCACCTTAACTTTTGGAAATTATTTCACTTTTCAATTGTAGTCGGAATTCTTCGGTGTGGGTTATGCACAATGGCTAGAAATGGAAAATTCATTCATGTCAACTGTGATTGGGGAGGTAAAATTAATTTCAAAATTACCATGTACAATTATAAATTAACATTAATTCTAATTCTAATTATTTTTTTATTGAAGTTACATGATGAAAATGTGAGGATGAAGAATGCTCTGAAATTAGTTAAGCATGATATGAACAAGATGAAAAAGGAAGTGAAGACCAAATGCACTTTGATATGGTCAAAACTTCCTTTTATTTGAACAAAATATGAACTTTTTATTTTTATTTTTGGGATACTTGTGATGTAATCACTTTGCTTTGCTTGTTTGTGATGTATGTTGGTGAACATTATGAGATTTAATGTGGTCCAATTTTTTTTTTCTTTTTGCTGTAAGTGGATGTAATTATTTTGATGAATACAATGTTTATGTACTATTTAATTGTCTTTTGTTTAAGCACGTGAGAGCTTATA